AATGCAACAAAGAATATCATTTACATGTAGCGCGTCAATTCTCTCTCTCTCTCTCTCTCTCTCTCTCTCTCTCGCTTATTAATCAGGTTGTGTGTGTTCGATTGTCGTTTGCGCATTAGTTCCGCCCACGACCAGAAAACCCGGTAGTTCTTAAAAGCTGAAAAAATCCAAAGGAACTCCGTTATTTTGACAGGAAAATATAACAAAGAATATCGTTTACATGTAGCGCGTCAATTCTGCATATGTAAGTAAAACTCTCTCGCTCTCTCTGCTCTCACCAAAGCGACGGTGAGTCGTGCGCCATTACACTAAAGTTTACGGTACGCCAATTACAGGTGCGCTGCGCATCCATTGAGATGAACTGAAAAATAGCGCAGAACGCTTGACGGAGAGAGAAACTCTGAAGCGCTCAGTCAGTGGTCGGCGAGTGAAAATATGTCTGTGCTAAACTTATACTTAGCCTCCAACTCACACACTGGCGAGTAAAATCTGAGAATTTATTAGCCGTTGACTAATATTAGACATCATTTAGTCGCCCAGAGTGAAGATTTAGTCACATATGCGAGTGATTTACTCGCAGTGTAGAGGGTTGAAACAGACAGTGCAATTCTACACTTTTACCTATTTGGTACCATGCTTTATTCTTCTCCTATAATGGATCGCGTGTCCCCGAGCAACTAAGCGTTGCAGGTGCACATCTCACTCTGCACGCCGAGTGATACACGTAAGCAAATTCTACACTTATTTCCCACCCTACAATTTTTTTTTTTTTACAGCCATTTTTTTTTTACAGCCACCGGACACTGCGATTGATGCCCGTGATTTTTAGTATTAAGTCATCTCACTTTGGCTGTGGCATGTTCTGTGACAACTGCATCTAAATGGGACTGGTGAAGTGTCATCTGGGGCAGGCAGGAGTAGCAGCGTTTTCTGTATAGTCACGCGGGCATCAACCAGAGATCTTAAGGCATGCGCGACGCTTAGATGCCACGGGACCTGCGCTCTATTATGGGTTAGAAGAGAGGAAGGCAACACCGTGGCTGCATCCGAAAACTTAGGCAGCTGATTTGCTGCCTCGCTGCCGTATGAGGCAATGACTTTGCAGGCAGTGTTTTTGCACAAAGGCACTTCATGGAACTGATTTCGGACAGGTTTCTGAGGCAGAGTAACGGTTTAATGATCTAAAGCAAAATATAGATAGCTTTGGTTCTGAATGGTCACGGCCCACGGGCATCAACCGGAGTGTAAACAGACTGAGGGATCTTAAGGCATGCGTGACGCTTGTGCCATGGGACGTGCGCTCTATTATGGGTTAGAAGTAGGGATGTAACGATTCACTCAACTCAAGATTCGATTCGAAATCACAATTTTGATTTCACGATTTGATTCACGATTTTTTTTTAGAAAATGAGATTTAAAACAAATTATAAATGAAATGTGTCCTTTTATTTTTGCTTGGACAAAATGCTGCACGTTTCTTTGTGAAATTGAAATATAACACTATAATAATATACTAATATAGCACTTGCATATTACTGCTCTTTTGTTGGTTTTGCTTGCTTCTATTGTCCTCATTTGTATGTCGCTTTGGACAAAAGCGTCTGCTAAATGACTAAATTTAAATATAGTGTAAATGTAAATAACAAACCTAAATTGAAATTTTAAAACGAGCCCCAAATCAAATAAGTAACACAAATAAAATACATCTCTTCATATAAACAAAATAAGGCTTTCTCTGTGTATACAGAGGCAAGATAAAAAGAAAAAATACCATCTAAACTTTTTTTAAAGACAATAAGTTCCCTTCAGACATACTTTCTCATAAACTCCTACCTCTAAATGAATCGCGATTTGTTTAGCATCTCAACCGATTTGAATCATCACATATTTGAATCGATTTTCAACCGGCTCGCGGTTAATCGTTACATCTCTCAACCGATTTGAATCATCACATATTTGAATCGATTTTCAACTGGCTCGCGGTTAATCGTTACATCCCTAGTTAGAAAAGAGGAAGGCAACACCGTGTCTACACCGGATGCGAGCGGCGTGACAAACGACAGTATTGAACCCATTATAATCAGCGATGCTTTCTACACTGGATGCGGCGCGATGCGACACGACAACTGTCGTCTGGTGTAGCCACGGTGTAAGGTGGCAAGTAAATAAATGTAGAATTGCAGTCCATTTGCTTATGTGCATCAATCGGAGTGCAAAACAGTGAGAGATGTTGAGGCAGGTGAAAAGCGTTTGGTTAATGGTGAATATTGACCTATTGTGTGTCTTGTTGCTGAGCCCCGCCTTGATATAATGATTGACAGGTTGGGGGCGTGATCGTCTCGGAATGCATTTTCAAATCCCCATCGACTTAAACTACATTATCGCGGGGTATTTAATGAAAATGCAGTTCAAACCTCTTAAGTGTAAGTGTCAATGCATTTAAGAAAAATAAAAGACATTTAAATCACCAATTTTGGTGCACATTTGGCTCAGAATGCATTTTGAAATTCACACTGCATTTTGCTACAATTATCACGCGGTATCACGATGAAAATGCAGTCCCATGTGTCCTTACCCATAAGTCTAAATGCATTTAGGAAAAATGGCATTTAAATGATAATTTTGCGACATTTTTTGCTTGGACATGTTAAACATATCTAATCAATTTAGGTAATACAATTTCATTGTAATTTTGCAACTTATAAAGCATTAAAATATGTTTTTAATTTACATATTAAAACTAGTGTAGGAAATGGCAAATGTAAATTATATAATTGAATTTTCATTTTGCACTGAATGTTGCACATATGTATGGGAAAATGTAAACTTAAATAAAGAAATACATTGCCATTTTACATATTGCATTTGTCATTTTGCATATTACATTTCAAAATGAATTTTGCTACCCATATACTTCCATAAGTTATGAGTGGCACATAGGGAAATTAAATTAGAAGTACAGATTTGCATCCAAGTAGGTGCAAGGTTGGGATTTCGGCAGATCACAGGTTTTACAGAAGCAGAAAACGTCTAGAGGAGCCCAGTTTTGCACAAGTATTAAATGTGGTCAAGACAAAAGCCAGCACTGTTCCCCAGGCCCAACAAATCCTCCCCAAACCCTCATCCGCATTTAAATCAGCTCTACACAGAGGGGGCAAACCACCTGCAAAGCCCCTGCTCATAAACACTAAAAATAGTAAAAAATCAAAAACCGTCAGGGTGTCACCTCCATATCACATGCCAGGCAGTCTCAGTCAAAACTATGCAAAGAGTGGAGACGATCCTGCTGGATGACATCACCTCACCACTGAATATCATGCAATAATGTGACGATATTTAAAATGGTCATCGGGTTCTAACAGATCTGTAAAAGGCTGTTGTCTGTGTGTGTTGGTGCTTTGCCACGGAGCTTAATTGCCCCTTGCATAGAGAGTGTGCTAATTAACATGTTTCCTACTTTCTAAAGGTTGGACAGCCATTGAAGACTGTATTGTTTGGCATTCACAAACTTGCCACCCACTTCTTGGTGTTCCTCTGCCTCGGGTAGGCCAGCGGCGGAGAGGCGTGACCCATTTAAAAGGTTGTTTACTTATATCAGAGAAAGGGCTAAGATGCTCCTCAATGAACTCTTGTCTACAATTCAATTACCCATGGGGCCCTTCAGCAGCTCATTATGAAACGCGGTTTTCACTTAGCAGTATTATGCACTGTATGGGAACAACATATGACTTTTGATGTGTCCAAAAAAAATTCACAAAGCTTTTTTTTTTTTTTTTTTGCAGTTGTTTGTAGCAGACTGTCATAATTGTTGAATATCAGATTTAAATGTGATGTAATTTAGGAGGGCAGGAATTGCGTTAGAAACTAGACATCGGGTGGGGATTTCACACACTGCACTGGTATGTCTAGTCTCTAAGCATGTCTAATGAATTTTTTTTCCCCTCCTAGTAGCCTCTTTTGCCACTGACCTGTCTGGTGGAATATTGCTGGCCCAAATTTGCGGTTTTTGCTGAAAACGTTTTGGGTCTATATTCTTGAAGACAGACTTTTTATTGCTCTTCCTGTTATCTTCAGACTAGACAAGCTTAAAAGAGGAAATAGCCTGTCTTTTTTCCCTCCCTTATTTTCTATTTTTAAAGGGCATTGTGTGAAGCATTCAACAGGAGTGGTTTGGTTGTGGTAAAGCTAGAGATTTATTTCTCTTCTGCCTTGTCATGTGATGTAATGGGACTCTGAAAAGGGCCTTGGACCAATAAACCGTATTGTAACGCACACAAGTGAGGCATTGAGCATGTAACTGAGAGAATAATACAGTTGCTGTGCTATTAACAGTCCACTGTTGTCCATGAGTTTGTAGAGGAGTGTAGATGGATTTTTTGTGTGTGTGTGTTCTCAAGAGTAGGAAGAATCAAAATAATCGGGGTGTTTTCTCTCAATAAAATCTTACAATGTGTAACCTTAGTTCAAGATTATTTTCTTACAGAATCTAGTTTATGGAGAGCATGTAAAGTTTGTATTTTTAATTTCTCCATTTGCGGTTTTCTTTTATAATTTTATTTAACACACACACACACACACACAAAATGTATGAAAAAAATTATGAATGATAAAGAAAGCTGCAAAATAATGTTATGAATTTTTGCTGCTTTCTTTCATTTTCTATTTTATTCATATATATGTGTGTGTGTTAGGGCTGCACGATATATCGAAATTATCGAAATATCGCAAATGTAAATATCGCAATTTTATGTAAATTATTAATGGTATTAAGTGATCATAATTTATTTTTGTGTATTATAAACTATATATATTTTTATATCAAATTAAGTATTAATATATTCAATATTTGAGTTAATAATAATACTATTTACTAGATGATGATTATTATTATTATTATTATTATTATTGTGTTATGGGAAAAGGCAACAATGAAAACATTAATTTTATCCCAGTTGTTTAACTGTGTGCCTCTCGTTTTTATCTCCCTTTATTCTTCCTAGGTGAGCTTAACTAGCAGCTGCTTTGACCTGGTTTCCCAGCAACCACTGGCATAAAAACAGCAGCCTTGGCCTCCTTATTGGTGGAGGGGCATAGGTGAAGGAGTGGACCCTGACTGCCCTCTTATCTCTGTTATTTGCTTTGTTTTGTGACAAGAGGGGGAGTAAGGTGCTAATAAGACCACCCAGAGCATGGGGCAGAAGGTTCCGGGAGGCATAAAGACTGTGGACATGCGGGACCCGGCGTTTAGGCCTCTCAAGCTAGAGCTGCAGGCCCTAGACTACACCAAGCCCTCCCGCCTGGATATGTTGTTAGACATGCCATCAGCCTCACAGGAAGTCCAAGTTCAGCACTCGTGGAACAACGACGACCGGTCGCTAAACATCTTTGTTAAAGAGGACAATAAACTTATATTTCACCGGCACCCTGTAGCGCAGAGCACAGATGCTATCCGGGGCCGAGTGGGATACACACGGGGACTACATGTGTGGGAGATCAGCTGGGCCATGCGCCAGCGGGGCACCCATGCAGTTGTTGGGGTGTCGATGGGTGAAGCCCCACTGCATTCTGTAGGATACACTGCACTTGTAGGAAACAATAGCGAGTCCTGGGGCTGGGACCTGGGACGTAATAAACTCTATCACGATGGCAAGAACCAGCCCAGTAGGACGTATCCAGCTTTTCTTGAGCCTGATGAAACCTTTATTGTCCCAGACTCGTTTTTGGTGGTCCTGGACATGGATGAGGGGACTTTAAGTTTTATCGTCGATGGACAGTATTTAGGGGTTGCTTTCAGAGGACTCAAAGGAAAGAAGCTATACCCTGTAGTGAGTGCTGTGTGGTGACACTGTGAAATCCGAATCCGGTACATCAATGGACTTGATCGTAAGTATCATCCTTTCTGCTTGTTTGAATGTGCCTGTCTGTTTCTCCATGGCTCCTCCAGTCCTCTCTTGAATAACAAGATTGGCGCTGTCGTTTGTTAAACATTGAAAGTGGCTGGAGCTAGTGTGTCTTGGGGAGGCTTTGTTTCTCATCTATTAATTATGTGAAACCAGCTGCATTTACCTGATAAAGACCATGACATCATTCATTATCTTCACGTCCTGCAAGCTAATCATTAAACTGCCCTCTTAGCTCCACTCTTTCCTTATTACGTCTCGATCAGATTCCACTATTGCCTGTGGAGCATTTAAACTGACTTTTTTTGCTGATTTAAATCATTTTAAAAGTCGTTGCATCCATTATTATAGAGAAATATCTGCTTATATAACAGTTGTAACGCGTATATCAATCAGTTTTTTTCTGCTAGAGTTTGAGGTCGTGTATTGCAACGGAAATGTATTTTATTATTATTATTATTATTATTATTTATTATTTTGTAGCTTCTCAATTTGCTACTTTCTGTGTGTTTTTAATAATAATAATTTTATTTCGATTTATTACCACTGAAACTACTAATAATATTTACTACTACTACTACTACTAATAATAATATTAATAATAATAAATATTTTATTTCTTATTTATCAATGTGTCCTGGAATCTAATCTTTAAACTGGACGCTTTGCTCTGCTCTTTCCTTATTATGTCTTGATTAGATTACAATGCCTTGCACTGCCATTTCTTGCTGACATTAATATTTTAAAAGTCGTTGCATCCATTATTAGCCTATAGGGAAGCAAAATTGAGCTTTTGTTTAACGGGAAAGTAGTGATAGGCCAGGCCGGTTATTTGAGATAGTGAGAAAACTATGCCTGATTAACAGAAGTGGTTATTCTGCCGAGCCAATTTCAAATCTCTTTTCTGTCTTCTCAATGACTAAAACATTTTCTGTTTTAGGATTCAATAATGTGAGTAAATGTAAGAAAAGTGTTCATTTAAATTCATTTTCTGACTTGCTAACACATTTTCATAATCTGACATTGTTAGGTTAATCATTCTTAATTTTATTCTAGTGACAACTATACTTTTAACATTAAGAAATGACAAAACTGCATTAAGATTATGGATTTTATGGTGATTTTTTTTTTCTCTTTTAAATCTTTGAATTTGCTTTAGAGACAATATTTAAAATGTGTACTTGATGCAAATGAATTTGATGTAAATTGTTCTAGAAAATATTAATTCTCGTTGACGGTGTATTGCTAATTATTTAAGTTTTGGGAACGTGACTTTATCACACCCAATTTTTTAACTTGCACAGTAAAAGTTTTTACACATAGCAACGTTTATTTTAGGAATGGGGTCCCATGCAATGGCAGTCATCATAATTAGGAGGTCCTTTGAATAAAGTTTGATATATCCCTTGCTATAGATAGCTGATATGGCTCACACAGAAGCTGACACTGCTAAAATGTAAAAAAAAAAAAAACCCTCCCCCCTACAGTAGATTACTTGAGAGTAGAAAAAGCTAAGGGTTTTCAATATTAATCAGTCATATTAGCGTGAAATGTCTTCCCTCAAATTGCGCATTCTCAAGGTTACATAAAAATTTCTGCAGTTTTTGCATGCAGTTTCTTCGAATCTGACTCATTTCCTCAACCCAGCATGCTGTAATGAGTCCGTTTTGGAGGACATTCTTGTGATGTTATCATTCTGTGGTCATATAATGAAAGGATGCAGGTGAGGGCCAGACGTACTCATGTCTGGACAGCTGTAACCCACCTTACTCTCTGTGGAAACAGTCTCCGGGCCACTAATGATGTCCTGTCCAATGGAATACGTGTTTTATCACCTTGTTTTTCATGCCGTCAGGTGATGGAATGACTCTTAAATGTCTTTCCTGAGTGTGCCATGTTTAGCAACATTTAACGAAGGTCTGACTTTGGGAAGTATTAATGCATCAGTTCAGGACACGGGTGTTCCCATTTTTGGAGAATTCTCATCCCTTCTATGTGTGAGAGAGAGTATTACTCAGCCTCTGACTCCAAGGCCTTGGCTTCCTTTTGTATCTGTCTTGTGTCAGTGCCTTTAATGCATTCCTCGTCATGCTCGCTTCAACAGAGGTATAATTGTACTGTTATTTATCCCTTACATCACTCTCTTTGGCTTCCCCAGTGTCTCGTTTGCTAAAGTGTGCGTTTTATGAAGTAATCTCAACATCCGAGCAGGTGGTGCTGTGTGGAATCCATTCTAAGTCCGAAGTACTTGGGGTTGTTATATGGCTGGACTAAAGGGGACCTGTGGGGAAACTTGTAATACTTTAAGCCAGGTGCACACTGTATGATTTTTTTTTGGACACAGTTTCTTCTCTTGGTAATTGTAAAACCAAAATCGGCAGTATTTATTCGCTCAGCATCAGCTGATGAATTGCATTTGTCAGTTTTGTGACCTAAGGGTCATGCATATCATACATGAATGAATATTTCTTCAACTTTGAAGAGATTTTGGCCCTGTGGACTTTAAAAGATCTACCGCAAATATCATTATTATATAGTACCACATGCCTGCTCTTAAAGGGGTCATGAAATGTTTTTGTTATTTTATAATGCTTCCTGAGGTGCGCTTGTGATCTTGGTATGGTTAAAATGTTTTAAAACGATCATAATTTAGTTATTTTCGAGCCTGAATTTAGCTCTGATTTGAACTCATTGAAGTCTCCCAACAGACACACCCCTTTCTATTTCTGCTATGATTGGCTAACATTAAAAGAGCATTGCATGTGGGACTCTCTTAAACTTTTACTGCGTTAGACTCATGTAGATCTTGAATTGACTACTCCAGCGACTTTAAAGAGAAAGATCTTTGATCGTTTTATGTATATAAAATAATCACAACATAGAGAACAGATGGTTTCACGCTGCTAACAGGAACAGTGTGAAGTTGATAGTTCATTCACTGACTTGATGATGTGATGGTCATGAAATGCAGTTTCAGATTTTTATAGAGGTTAGTTTGTAAAATTTGCACCAAAAAAAGTATTTCAATACCTAACAGTAGTAGCTATCATTCTTGTGTTTGATGGACAAACAAATCCATTGTTCAGAACACACATCCCTTATTACATACAATGATGACGCATGATAAAAAAATCGTAACGTTACGTTTCTCCAGTTTTCAAATCCTGGTGTTTCATAAGGATAGAAAAGGATCATTCATATTTTAAACTGAGGGTTAGTTTTGAGTGTTGAAACTTGCTGTATGTTTTTTTTTTTTTGTAAACCTGTCATGTGTAAATATCAAGAACATTTTGATTCTCCATTTCATAACCCCTTTAAAGGTGACATATCATGAAAATCTGACTTTTCCAGGTTTTAAGTGCTATAATCAGGTCCCCGGTGCATCTACCAACCAAGGAAACGTGAAAAAGATTAACCCAGTCACTTTGTTTTGGTTAGCCTTTTTCTGCAAGCGTCTGAGAAAACGATCGCGTCTGATTTCGCTCCCTTGGTGACGTGGCAAAGGGATCTCATTAAAATATTACCGCCCCTTAATCTGTAAGTTTCCACCCACGGCGTCGTCATTTTGATTTCGCAAGCAACAATGGTGTACCAGCTCTAATGCCATGGTGAAAGTTTGAGGAAAGCATGCTAACTGTTCTGTCTTTGGCTGCGCAAACGAGCACAGAACACTATTAAGAGTCCCAGCCTCAGAGGAGACAAGAGAGCAGTGGATTTATTGATTTATTTACTGTATATCAGATACGAACTGTAAAGGCTCAGCTCTATTCTGGAAAAGGGGGCGGGGAGCAGCAGCTAATTTGCATTTAAAGACACAGGCCCGAAAAACAGCTTGTTTCTGCTTCCACTCAAAATAGGCATTTTCTAAATTATATTAAAAAAAAGGAGTATTTTGAGCTGAAACTCCACAGACACATTCTGGGGACACCAGAGACTTATATTACATATTGTAAAAAGGGGCATAATATGTCACCTTTAAAGGGATAGTTCACCCAAAAATGAAAATTCTCTCATTAATTACCCACCCTCATGTCATTCCAAGCCTGTAAGACCTTCGTTCATCTTCAGAACACAAATTAAGATATTTTTGATGAGCTCTCTGACCCTCCCATAGACGGCAAGGATCCTAACACGATCAAGGTCCAAAAACGTAGTAAGGACATCGTTAAAATAATCCATGTGACATCAGTGGTTCAACCGTAATTTTACGAAGTTACGAGAATATTTTTTGTGCGCTAAGATAACGACTTTAATAACAGAATTGTCATTTTTGGGTGAACTTTCACTTTAAGAACAATCAATCCTCATGTCTGCTCCTCATACGCCCAGCCACAGAGGCCGGGCATTCCTAACATTTGCACAAGGTCTTTGTGCTGTATCATGTCAGTTTTGTGTGTAAATAAGGATGTCAGAACATGACTGATATAAAACAACCAGTCTAGCACACACAGCCCCATTGTACAGTCTGTCTTGACGTTTACCCCAAGATCTGGACAGCCTACACCCAGCTTTACAAGTTTGCGTAGTATTTGTGAGTGATCATTGCTAATGAATTTCTGTCTGTGTCTTTTTCTCTCCCTGTAGCTGAACCTCTGCCATTAATGGACCTCTGTAGGCGCTCAGTGCGAGTCGCGTTGGGAAGAGAGCGACTGCGTGAAATCCATGGACTGCCCTTACCTGCTTCCCTTAAGAACTACTTGCTCTACCAATGATGATTGTAGTGCCTTTACAACCATTCAAGACATAGTGTCCGCCTCTGCTACTCTCTGGGATTAATCATCTTTCTGGCAAGCCTGTTTCATTACATCTTCGTTTTGTTTTCGGTGCCATTCTCGGTCACTGGGTATGGTACCAACAATATTTGTTACAAATTGGACTGAGGATGTATCATGCTTGATACTTTCAGGATCAAGTGTGTTGTTTCTTGTTGCTTCATTCATATACTGGAAATCCATCTGAAGGTTTTCGCCAGAATCTAATGGCAGATATGAAAACAAAAACCCTTCTTCTCTCTAATCATGGCTTAGTGAAACTTCAGCTGTTTGTCAAGGCCTTTTCCTTTTATAATTGTTTTTTTTTTTTTTTTAACTCCATCCTCTTTTCTTTTTTCTTTTTTTTTTTTAAATGAGATGTTGGCATACATTAAGCTTTCTTGTATCATGCCATTAACTTGAGGGTCCATATAGCGACTCTTTGCGGGCAATGCAAAATACATTACCTTTTCAAGACCTTTAGGCTTAACAACCAGCAAGTTTTTATGCTGATAGACTTTTTAAAAAAATTTTTTTATACGTTTTTCAAATGTCCTTCCCATTGCAGTCAGTATAATAAAGTAGCTGAGTCCGCTTCGGATCCATGGCCGTGGTTAGCAGGTTAGCAAGTTGACGACACCTAAGGGAAGGCGATGTCTTCCCTTGCTTGCTCTTGGCAGGTTAAAAATAGCCTGGTTTTAGCTGTAAGTCTGACCGTCTGGCCTGGAAAAACAGTCTTTGACGTCTGTGAGGGGGGAGTTGAGAGGCTAGCATTAATGGAAACAACCACAGCTAGTGTGCTATGCTAGCTTTTTTAATCACACAACGAGTCCCTCGCCTCTCTTCACACTGCAATATCTGAAGTGCCTGGCTCATGATATTGGTATATTAAGAGAAAGCCATGATTTGTCCTTTTTATATTAAATTAAATATTGCATCACTGTGAAACTATGTAGCATACATTAATCAATAAGAGGTTGTATAGTGTGCTTTCTGTAATGGCCCCTAAAATCGTGTGAACACCCATATCCTACAAATAATTTTTGCCTGTTTTATTCTTGAGGACCGTTTTTAACCTGTTGATTTGTCGAGAAAAGCAGGGATGGAATAGTGACACTGCTGTGTGGTGCCTTGTCTATGAGATAACCATGTCAAAAGTGACACACAGGCAAATGTTGATGTTTCTTTGCTCTGTTCTTTTAAAGTTTTGATGCAGAGAAGATTGCTGATTACTGTCATTTTTTTTCCCCATTCTAGTCTTTTAGATGTGTAAACGTAATTCATGTTTGGCAGCCATTTTGCTAAACATGAGGGGAATAGTTTGGTTCCCTGTTTTTAAACCCTTTCTGCCTGCAGACCACCATTCTCTTTGTATTCAGTGATGTAGATAATATTAGTAATCTAATAAAGTTTATTATAATTGACGTCTTTTGTGGTTTTTATGCTCATAAAAACCCCATGAAATCGCTTCTTATTTGCTGTTTACGTTTTCCTTTTATAACTTTTTCCTATTGATACAGGAGGTTTATATTGGATGTTGTTTTTTTTTTAAATGTTTTAAATTCTCATTTAATTGTTACAGACTTGAATCATGATTTGCAGTTGCAAATGGTATTGGGGGTGGGACATTCTAGAGAGCATTTGATTGGACAGCAGTCTGTGCAGTGCAGGATGAGTCAAGTCAGCACTATTTTCCAAAGTACGTTTAAATGTTTTTTTGTTTTTGTTTTGTTTTTTTAAGGGTCAAAGCTAACAGACATGAACAGAAAGCCTTTATTTGACAACTTGACTTGTCTGTCTTGCCAATAAACGGGTAGTTCACCGTTGTCAAAATGTTTTTAACAAAATTTGGCTGTGTATGCAGTAGAAACGCAAAACATATATAGTGCTATTTGACTAGAGAAAACAGGAAAAAGGGAAACTTCAATACCCATAATGCACTGAGGCCAATTCAGACTTGAATGGGGGTATAAATGCGGAAATATGATCTGTAGTTTTCAGAAAGGTAAAAAAATATACTCACAGTTAGCACAGATAGCCTTGTGGACAGTGCACTGACATACAGCACTGTTGCGCAACAGGCATCTAGAGTTCGAATCCCAACTCGAGGACCTTTCCCGATCCCACCCCATCTCTCTTCCACTTTGCTTCCTGTCTGTTCATAATAATCATAATAACGGTGCAAATGCCAAAAATAAGTCTTTAAAAAAAATAAATAAACTGATAAGTAAACGGGGATATTCTGGTGCAGGTAACAAAAGAATACCCATTGATCAATTACTTATACTATCAACAATATAACGATCCAAAGCAGGTAAAAAATTACTTGCACTTTAACACCACATAAAATGTTAAAATGGACAAAATGTCAAGCAAAAATCAGGTTTTGCCTTATTGCAGAATGATTGTGCTATTTACAAAAACACCAGAGACAGAAATAAAATTTTATTATACACAGTGACCCTACCAACAGGCTACATCTTTGTTCCTTTGCTTGAAAGAGCTTCTCTTCAGTAACTCATTTTGTTGATTTCAGTAAGCGTTTTATTCATTTATCCAACATAAACACTGGAAACTTTATCTGTAGACATAACAACTCTGTAGCGAGACAAGAACAAGGAAAATCTGTTACAAGCAAACAGCATCTCCTCTGACAGTTGTTTTCGGTTAGCAATCTTCGGCTAGCGTCAAGCCCAAGGTAAATGAGTTGCTGTGTGTAATGGAGTGGATTTTGATATCAATGTTCCTACTGTCATCCTGACTTGGCAGTTGTCATGGCAATGTGTTTGCATACACAGAGCACTTGAGCTTCAGCGTGAGGTCACTCATCTCAAGTATGCAGCTTGGCTAGAACAGTGTGCTGTTTGGGTGTCTGGAACGGCACATTCCTCCCTGTAATATTTTCAAAATGAAGGCTGGGAGTTTCTGTGTATACTTTTTATGAGAGAAATGAGTCCAAGTTGGCTTACAACTGAAGAAATGTGTTATCTGTTGAGGAACTGTTGCGGGTTCAGGAGGTTCAATGGACTTTAGTGTGATGAATTGAAGTCATGTTTCAAGAAACTTGCAATTCTGTGTTTGTTTCTACACCATGTACTAGTATAGTACATGATGCGTATCCGCTTTTTGTGTCTGTCAACATGTAACTCTTTGAAGCAGTTGTTACAGACAGGCCAGACGGAGTCTGTGACTTTTTACATTTATTTTTGTAATATTTTCTATGCTAAATTTAAGGAGAAAATCTGTGAAATGGACCGTGTTGGGCAAGTTACTCTGAAAATGTAATTAAATTACTGATTAGGCCTACTCCTTTTAAAAGTAATCACGTTACTGTTCTGATTACTTTATTTAAAAAGTAATTCGTTACATTACTAGTTACTTTTTTCTGTGACTACATCCATGAAATTTACATGAAATCCCAGCATAAATGCTCACGATAAATATTGGTTATTAAAGCATCAACTTTCACAAAACTGTTATTTTTAACTAAAGCAAGCACTGGCTGCTGCGTACATGGTTTGGCATGGCAGAATGCCAGCAAATAGCGCTGCTTTTATAATCTCTAAAAAGATGACATCAGTTCAACGCAATCTCACAAAGCTCTGTTATAACACAATAAATATATGCATAATGAATCTTTCATAATGTCTACAATTCGTGTGTTATAACAAGAGGATTCGTGAACACGCGCATTTCAGCACTGCACTCCTGACTGGCAATTGCGTTCCAGAAATAAACATTACTTATTGCCTCAGAAAAATCTAGTTGGTTGCTCAATATAAATATACTCAATAAAAGTGTACTCGGAAGCCAATTTATGAAAACTTGAATATACAAGTAACCTTAATTAGATTTTTTTTTTTTTGAGACAATAGGTTTGCAGCCAGGTGAAGTTAACAAATTTAAATTTACAGTGAATGTTGTAGCAGTAGCAGTGTGGGTTGCATGTCATATCAGAAAGTCAAATCTCAGTGATCTTCATCTGGAAGGCCACCAGTGGGACACTAAAGGGATAGAATGGCCCATTCCAGCTGGATGATCGGTCCTATGTGGGATGTCTTCATTGTAGACTGCCAAATAAATGTCTCACATTGACAAATACAATAATGTTTTTGTAAACGGTCCCTGGGTTGGTGTGAAACTGTAATTGTGACTAGGCAAAGCAGAATGCAGTCAAATGCATAGCTCTCAACCACTAAAAAGTACTTTTGTTATTTAAGCTTTTGGGAGTCGCTTTCACTCAAAGCAACTATTTGCATTGAAGGCGTGTTTCATTCCCTGGGAATTGAACCCATGACCTTGGCATTACTGCTGTTGTTTGAAATACAGGAAACCATGCAAATGATGTCTTTAACAGCTTAGAAACATTTTCACTTTTTGCTTGGGCTTCATTGGCCTCGGGTGCAGATCACAGGAAGCATAGTTTAAGGTGTAAAGAGTTTTTCCTGTTACAATTCTCTGAATACAGGATCTCCTGTTACGTAACCACCAAATCAGAGGATGCGAGAGATGGCAAAACTCACACTCTGTTCTGTCTGTCAGCTACAGAATTAAGAAGCCAGTCTGTTTTAAGGAGTAGAGGCTCCTACTCATACAAAGTAACTGGCATATAATGGTGCCATTTCTCCTCTGAGAAGCATCACTGTTTGCATATTTGACATGGACTGTTCTTTGTTAGTTTAGTCTAGGAAGACGAAACAAAAACTCTCTAAAGGTCTCTTGTCTTAAATAGCCATTAAACTAACTGTTACCCATTTGTACTGTATAACAAGAGCATAATTAACAAGTAAATGTTTGCACAAAGAGAGCGTTAAGCCTCGCGGTATGCAAGATGTGCCAACTTTATCGGTTTGCTTTTAAAGATATGTAAGGGAACATGGTTATTCTCGTGATATCACAAAAACTATCTTAGAAAATTAGTTATTGTAGACTGGACCAATTTTAGATCATCTTGCACTGACAGGGAAGTGTGATTGGAGGAATATGATGCCCTGCTTGAACACACTCATGAGGTGTTACTTCAGACACTAATCTGATGTATCCTGTGGTCAGATGTGTAAATATTTTTGGTCCCCCGAGTGAAATGACGTCAAACTCTTTCTTTGTAGTTGGATTCACATGCTACAGTTTGTGCTATTCTGTACGGTGGGTTCCTTTCCTGTAGTTTCAAATAAAACAATGTAGACGTATAAATGAGCAACACTCATGCATGGTTCTCTGAGGATTGAATCAAAGGGAAAACTCAGTTTTAAACTCAGTTTAGTTCCAGATGGGCCGGAGAGGTACCAGATCAAACCAGACACTGAAAATCATTACCATGTGAAGGTTTTAAGAGGTAAAGTGAGAGACGGTG